TGTGAGCTGCGTTGTATCGGTCTCACTCTTGCAGCCACTTCTGACTGTGGTGCCTCGTGCTGTGTATTCATGTAAAATCTCCCTCTTCGGAGTTAATCAGCTCGTTTGAGCTCATCCAGTGTGGAGGGGTTTGGGAAAGTCCATCGGAGGGAACCGAGTCTGTGCTTTATGTCCCTCGCTGAGCTCACTGACCATTGTGAATTGGTATTGGCTGGGGCGGGCTGACCCGTGCAGGATGTGTGGTTCTGGGGGGAACTCCCAGACCAAGGGTGTCATGGAGTGTGGGGGACTCAGGGCCCTGTACCCCCGGCTTCCTGCGATTCACCATGACTCTCAGCCAGCCAGTAAAGCAGAAGGTTTATTTAGACAACAGGAACACAGCCCAAGACAGGTCTTGCAGGCACAGACACTCCCCACTCAGCATTCAAAGCCCACATTAAGAACAGTCCCAGTTCGTCACAGAGGGCGTGTGGGTGTCCAGCTGCAGTTCACACCCCGACGGGGCTGTGGGCGGCTGTTTGCGAGCAGGCTAGCACTGGAGGCGACAGCAGCACGGCCGTGTAAAGGGCACCCCGGGTTCAAGGGCAGGGGAACACAGCTCCTCACTAGTCTGGCTTGGACCCTGGGGATGTCACACCCGGCTCTGGGCTGCAACAGCCTCCAGCCCCTGCGTCACCACCTCTGCCCTGTGGCTAAGAGGGGACTCCCCCGAACTCCCCCAGCGCCGCTGCTGCATCAGCAGAGGGGGGACCATGATGCTCTGCTGGGGCCTCTGCCAGGCCGCCCCGCCCGCCCTGCAGCTGCCTAGATCCAGGGGCAGCAGGAGGGACCGGGTGGGGGGGGGATGGGACGACATGAGGATGGCCGTGCAATGACCGTGCGAATGGCCGTGCGAATGGCCGAGGGAGGGGCGCTTCCTCTCCCTCCAGCTGGCTTTGGACTTGCCACATGCTCTGCCGCGGGACTGGGGCAAGGGACAGGGACCTCTGGAGAAGCCTGATTCTTCCATAGCCCAGGATCCACCTTGCAGGGCTGCTGGGGGCTGGGGAAAGGCCTGGCTGTGCCCACGCTCCCTGCTGAGTTCTGGGGCCCTTCCTCTGCACCGTGGGCTCTCGGTTTGGGGCTGGCGGGGAGGTTAAAATCCATTTCACGGCAGGAACATAAGGTGATCGCCGGGGCTGACCTGCGCTCCTGGGCCTCTCCACGGCTGCCGGGGGGTTTGGATTCCCCCAGCCAAGGCTCAGCAGGTCAGTGCGTGGGGCTAGGAGGTGGGGGGTGTCTGAGCCAGGAGCGTGGGAGAGAACGGGCTGAATTCCCCGGGTGATTCCACCCCTGGGCAGGGCAATGGCCGGGATGCCCCTGGCTGGCAGGGTTTTCCCGGGGTGGTTCCCGTTTCCTTGGGCTGCGTTTATCTGAGTTCTCTGAGCCAGGTAATTCGCACCCTGTTCCGGTGCTGCATGGGGGGTGTGAAAGGGGGGGCGGGGAAAGGGAGGGGAGGGGGCGGGGGAAGGGACACTGCTCTAAAAATAGCCTGGAGCAAGCAGCCTCCAATTCCATCCCCCTCCCGCTGGCACCCCCACCCTTTCCCCTTGACCCCGTGGTAGGCGCCACAGACCCCGTTCTGAGGGGTATCGAGGATTACAAACCTGGCAGAGCGGGGGCTGGGACAAGCCAGCACTCCACCCCCCGCCGGCCTCTTCCTGCAGCCCCCAAGCTAACCATGCCTGGGCCAGGGACTGCCCCCTCTCCCCTCAGCCAGGCAAGGCTGGGGGAGCTGAGCGGGGCAGATGCAGCCCCAATCGGGTGGTGGCGCTGTCTGGATCCAGCACTGCAGAGTCTAACTACACTCTACAAGTCACAGCACATGTACCTTCCCCTGCACAGGCTGGGCTTGAACCCGGGACTGGGCACAGCCCTCTACCACTTGAGCTAAAGGACTAGATCCCTTAGGGGGCAGCAGTAGTAGGCTGTAATCCTCTCTGTGGCCCAGCTGCTAGAGAGGGATGGGACATGCGCCATCCCCATATATTATCCTGCCATGCCCTCCCTGCAGCCCGGTTTGGGGTCCATTGTCATTGCGTCTGACCTACCCCTGCCCTTCCCAGAGCGCCCGGCCCCGGGGCAGCACGCAGCACTCACCACGAAGCTGTTGAGGGTCACGCTGTTGGTGTACAGGAACTCGAGAACGGCCAGGAAGACCTCGGGCTGCACATGGCTGAGGACCAATGGGGTCTGGGGGGGCCCACGGCTCCTGGGCATCAGGCTGGGGCTGGCTGAACATCCCCTGGAAGGCCTGGCAGCGGCAAGCGAGGATGCAGCGATGGGCGAACACCTCCTGCCTCTCCCTGCCCACCACGAACGTCACATCGCTGTGGAGACAGAGACAGGCCGAGCCACGCCATGAGGAGCGGGGATTGTAACAGGGCGGCCGCTGACTGAGTGCCCCATGCAGAGCACCCCCGACCCCCATACAGAGTACCCCTGCCCTCCCCATACAGAGTACCCCTGCCCCCCATACAGAGTACCCCTGCCCCCCATACAGAGTACCCCAACCCCCGTCCCCCATACAGCGTACC